CTGATGTTTAGACTTCCTCTTAAAACGCAGTTCATTGATAATTCCTTGCTTTCGAGTTTTCCCATGGCTTTTAAAACACAAGAAAAGTGAATTTGCTTTATTCACTGACTTTCTACTGCACATGCGATTAATAAACGGCAGTAAATGAATTCGTGGACTTCTGCCGCAACAGCTTTGCATGATGATGTGTATGCTTCAGTTTTGGAGACGAGTGTAATTCTAATATACAAACTACACGAAGTCTACTTCTGAAGATTATTTTAAAACCGAAAATAACTCAAAGGTTCCGAATAAATTCAAATACATGTGTACATACAAGTGAATTATTGCGCATCCAGATATTACCTTTTATTGTATTTTATTTCGAGTATAGAGACAGGGAAGAAAAAAAATAAAAATATTTTAGTAAAATCAAACACAGAAAACATTTTTTAAAAAAAAATTCAAGAAAGAAATTATTTTTTTATTTTGCGTAAACATGCAGCCCGTTTCTTTTTCTGCGTTAATAAAACTACGAGGTTTTTAGGAGCCCTTTATAAAAAATTTTTAGATACATAATATCAATTAAATTAAAGAAAGAAATTATATTTTATTGGCTTGAAACAAAGGGCATGATTTATTTCTTAAAGTATAATTAATACGGAGTTAACTGAGTAATTATTATTTTTTAAACCTATTTTGAAACCTATTTATAATTTAAAACAACCATGTACTTAAATGCACGCAAAGAAAAAAAGCGCAGAAATATTGTTCTGTAATGATCATAAGACATCTTTATACTACAAGAATACCGAAAATGTTCGTAAAAATTATCAGGTATACGTAATTTAAATTATACCAGTCCTACGTATTGTATTATTTAAAAATTAAAATCAAGACGTAAATTATTAAGATATGCGTTATTTGCTTTTGAATCTCTGAAATTTTTGAGTACAGTTATAGTATTAAATGCAAAGATCTTACGTCCTAGAATAGCAATATTGGCTGTGTGGATTATCAACTACCTCGCCGTGCAAAATATTGAGACATAGCGGCCTAAAAATGTGGAAAGACTTTGTTATAATATCCCTCCGTTTCTGACTTCGAAACACTTAAGTAGTAAGTTATTAACAAATTTGATTAATTAACCACATTCGCAAGCGATTCGAACAAGGAAACTTTTACAAATTAGAGATCTTATGGTGCTTTGAAAATCATGGTAGGTAGCATAATTACATTTTATTATATTATAAAGTCATGATAATTAGGTAGCTATGTCTTAATTATATGATGGTTGTTTTTAGTGCAAGGTGTGTTATTCTGAAATTATAACAAGCATTTAATATTATTAAGTAGTCTGACAGTTTTAAAGATGCTAAAATGAAGTATATATATATATATATTAATTTGCGAAACGCCTATAGTTGTTTCATGTTGCAGGTGGTCTTTAATTCGAATCAAGCGACGCCACAATTGACTTTTCACGTTTCATGCTTCTAATTTTGAGTACAGCGTTATGTTACGCTACCGGGACATTTATCATCTATGCGGTATGGCAAACTATCAGTTCTGAATGATGTTGATGTGCATAAGATCATTATCTTACAAATAAAGTTTGATTAGTCAAATTAGCAATTTGAAAGAAGTAAGGGCAGTTCCTAATAACTTAACCTTTTCTTCGTTCTTCGTATGTCTCTAATTTTATAGTTCACATTCCAGGGCACATTGTGTTATGGAAATTTCTTTTTCCGTATTTTGAAATTATGATAATTAATTCTGTTACACCCTGTATACATTATTAATAAAAGACTGTAAGATTTTAACAAATACGTTTATTGCTTTTAAATCACCGAGTTTGTTAAATATTGTCAGATTTTTTTTAAACTCAAAAAAGAAATGAAACATTCTTACATCTTGCCAAATGATAACACTTTGAGAACTTGTCGTGCTGGAGAGGTGGGAAATATTAAAAAACACCTCATACTCCACGCAGTGAAGTGTTTTTAACATCAGCTGAAGTCAGAATATAATATTAGTTGTTAGTGAAATTTTCCTTGTTGTAAAATATTATACTTAAAATTTTCTGTAAGATTTCGTTTCGTAAATTTTCCATTCTGAAATTATCCAGAAAATGTCTTGCGATAATAGTCCAGAGGAAATAATCCAGCTTTTCCTTAAGATATTTCCAGAGGTAAGAAAATTTTCTGCGTTTTCCTTCACTCCACGCGGACAGCTTAAGTGGAAGTTACGGTCGCAGTTAGATATACCACTCCGTGATCCAGAAATCCGACTCTAGCAATTTTATCAGCTTTAGGGAAGACTTATTTTCTTTTTTCCTATTTTATTCCAGGATAAATTCGGGCTCCGGAAAAAATATTTCTCTCGTATGCCAGACATTAACCTGTCACTTTAGGGGCGCTTTAGAAATTTAAGTGAACGTATCTCTTTTAGTGTTTTTTTTATCTCCTTGGTCAGTTTTTGCTTTCTTTTTTAAGACGATTAACGGGCTATATTTTATATTCGTTTCTTTTTTATATATATTTATTTTCAAAGAAAGAAAAATAGCTTTGCACCCAGAGTCCCTTTCCCCTTTTTACGATAGCTTGCCCTGTGACCAAAAATGCCTGAATGTTTTTGTCCTATTTTTAACGTTAGAAATGTCTACAACAGAATTTTTTTAAATCTGGAATCGTCACATTACACAACAAGACATTTATCCTCCATAAAATCTAACAAATGTACGATGCATATGTTTTTAAATTCAATTTTCACACGGTCTGCAAATACCAAAACCTTAAGGTGTTGCCATTAGATTAATAAAAAAAGGCGAAAAGTAACCTTATTTTGGCATATATTATGAATAAAACGGTGCGAGCTTCAAGGGTGATCAGATATAGGTGGAGGAGAAGTGGTAAAACTGAGTAAAAAACGTTGGGTGTGTTTAATTTACAATTTAAGTATCTTATGTCACATTATGGCATAAGACCATTAACACAATTCTTCCGATTATAACTGCTGAAAAACTAATCCATTTAAAAGTAATGTATGTAATTCTTGATAAATTATACCTTTATTATATTTCCGAATAGATTAAAATGCATTTAATTTGTAATGTATCCACTGCTAATTTTAATAATATTCTAAATGTAATTTATTTTAAACAATGCAGCTTAAATTATATCCGTTAGATAATTCATTTTAAGAAAAATAAAATAAAAATTTATGTCATTACGAAGCTCATTTACTACTTTTAAATCGCTCTGTTTTTATAGCAGTTATATTCTGAAAATTATATTAAAAAATTAATCTCACGTTAAATGGCTGTACTCTTGAAAATTCGCTATTTGCTTGGCCACGCGTAACATAATTAAAAATCTTATATTTCGAACAATGGTAACAGTTTGCAAGCTGTGCAGATGATCAATATACGATAGTATGTTGCTTCAAATGGTGCTTCGAAAAGCACCCTTAAGTGTGCTTCTAGCGCACTGTTGAGAAATGGGCTTATTCTTTTTAAATCGTATAATTTGTTTAGCAATTATAGACTGAGTAATATTGAAAGACAAACTGATTATATTAGACAACAGCATACGACAGCCGTCTGAGACGTGATTATTTGTGATGAAGAATAAAACAAATTTAAATTCTTATAGATACAATGAGAAGCAGTCGATAGCAGCATTCTTATAGGTACAAAGCAGTAGGATGAAAAATGCATTGTAAAGTAATATAACGCTCCGAAAACACTCCCCATAAAAGTATTTCTGGCACCAGTTTAAAAAATCGAAACTGTGTTTAGAAAGAAAATCTCTTCAACGTGTACACGAACCCATACTGAAGCATCTATGTTCGAAAACCTTGGACACTGCCATCTTTACAGTGCGCGATAGACGTGCACAAAATGCCTTCCTTTCGTTGTTATGGATATGTGCTGCTTTGTTCGGATGGTAGTTAGCGGTTCCTGACTGCTGTATCATCGTTGTCCGGCTCACACCCCGAACATAGCATGAAATTTATAAATTTGCAGTGTCTTTGGGGTATTGGGGCACTTAAAATACTATCAAGCCGCGACCTCGTTTGGAGTCTCAAAATATGGTTTAAGAAGCGATGATCTGGACAGGGATCTTTAACCTCTGTTCTGCCTAACTCCAGAGTTTTGCAAATCAAAATAAAAACTCGACATATAACATAAATAAAAAAGAATGACGTGCAGTGTTTTGCAAAGCTAAACAATTCTCTAATCGGAAATGAATTACATTTAGATAACAGTGTTAAAAATTATATAATGGAATACCTTTATCAGTCGAGGGAAACTATAAGAGAATATTTCTCAAAAGAGAAAACTATGTACGACTAGACAAAAATCCATTTGAGTACTAAGATAAATCAAAAGGCTTGCCAATGAAGAAAAGAGAACAACTTACTGACAGCAGACTGTAGAATCTAAATTAAGTAAAAGCAGCTCCTAAATTTTTGTTTGCAAAGTCGTTCATAATACTCAGAAGTTTTTCATAACGCTATAAACATTTTAGTGCCATTCAGAACAACGTATTTAAATGAAAAATCTCTCTCAACGTGTGTGGCAACAAAAAATACAGAAACAAATTAAATGCAGAATGTAAAAGGCGTTTGCAGATAACATCAACAGAGCCAGTCTTAACAGGCAGTTAATGTAAAAAAGTACAAGCACGCCCCAGTCATTAAATATAATGCAAAAATAGGTAAGCCTGGAGCTCGAGCCAATCCTATTAATGAGTAAATTACATTAATTTTATATTAAATATTTTTTAATACTTTCTTTAATTATCTTTACATAAAGTGTCTGTAACATATTGATCTGTTTTAAATGTTATTCAAAATTATATTTTTCTAAGAGTAAGAAGTTTTCCGAAAAACCTTATAGTTCGAAGGATTTTGTGAGTCGATAAAGTTTGAAGACCACTAATCTAGGTTATGTTCAGGTCAAGAGAATTTGTTATAATAGAGATAACTGTGTATAAATTTCTTTTCTTCTTTTGCAGAAGGCATTGACACCATCCAACTATCAAAGAAGGGCCTGTGCTTGACTCGTCCAGTCCTGTATACTGTAGCAGTGGTGGCCAGTGTAGCGCAAGTAGCCTTCTTCGGGTCGTGCGTTCTACTTTTGATCTTTGTACGTAGGTGCAGGCGCCTAAGGAGCCAGTCTTCCGACTACTACAGGAGCAGCAGGAGCTCTGTATCCAGTAAACAGGAGTTATGTCCCAGGACGTAGCAGACAGAAACATTGTAATGTAGTCTGTACAAAACCGACAAGATCACGAAGAACAGCGTTGACGCTTCGTGGTGATAATTTAAGTGGTGCGGACGGTTTGGTGGGGTTGTGGAAAATTGGGAAACTTCATCTTGGAACTGTAAAGTACTTTTGGATTTATTTATTTCTATAATTGGCCGTGCCGTTGTTCGAAGTTCCGAGCGTCATAAAGTAGTCGTGACTTCAGTGACTGAGGCCTTTCCAGTTGTAAGATGTGGTAATGGTCATACAGTTAGAAATGGCTTTGAGGCGAAAGCAGGGTTGTCAGATAACAAGAATAGTTTACCTCAATTTTTTAATGAAAATATATATTTATTTTAATAAAGAGTAATGGCAATCGCACATAATCTGTCATTCTGTAATAATTAAATGCACACTATAGTATTAGAAATTCGTTCTATATTCGACTTATAAAAATTCTGTATGCATAAATACAGTAAATCCTCTCATGATGACTTATTTTTAAGACAATAACCTTTGAAAATAATCGTTTGTCTAAGAGCATCAATAAATACAAATCTTAAATATTGTTACCCTAGAGCGACCACCTCTGCAGAAATCCAAAATCATTTGAAACTGTGGGTTACTTTACTATGAGTAAAATAAGTAAGGCTACTTACTAATTAAAACTATTACTTATTGCTATTATTTAAAAGGAGACTAGTAAAATTTTCTGAAATATGAAGAGCTAATTGCTCATAAATATTTATAAAACATAAGAAATGCATACTCTTTAATAAATCAGCACGCTTGTGTACTGTAAATGCAATATACAGCACTACAAATGTCTTTTAATAATTTCAATAATTTTTAATGTTTATAAAAGTAATTAGATTGACATAGTATATGTTAAATGTTGTTTAAATTATTTCAGTTATGTTTATTAATAAATAAAAATTATATTATTAAATACATGTATTGTTTTAAAAACACCTAGTTCTTAAAGCAGTCGCAATTATTGTACGGAAATATAAACATCTTCTCTAGTTAAAACTGGCAGTACTTTTGAAACCGGTTACTTTCCAGGCCACGTAGAAGCTAAACAAAAATATTATTTCTTGTGCATTAGCAATATTTGTGCATTAGCAATAGTTGAATTGATGACAAATGTCCTGGTATAGCGTAATGGCTGGGTAACATTATATGAAAGCACGGAAATTTGGAAGTATATATTGGGCAAGAGATATAAAATGAACATAAAAATTATCAATTGATTATATTGCTGGATTTAAAATTACTTGATGAAAATACATTACGCTGGTACACAATACAGTTTTATAATTTAAAACTTAATTAAAGGTCTCTGAAAAATTGGCAGTGTCTATCAAAACTGGCATTTTGTCAAGTCTTTTAAATGATTAATACTGTAACCGTAATTTCATGCGATCGGAGAACATGGGTATTAAATTATAGACATTTATAAGGCTGAGTTTTTTATTTTTTAAATTAATATTAAAACATTTTTATTTTAATAAAAAAGTGAGTAATATGAAATTTTATAGAGCATAATATTTCATATAGGACGGAAATATTGCTTCATCTCCCATTAGTTTCAGAAAAGATAATCTGAGTTGGAGCAGTTTATGTGACAATGATACGAAAATTCTATGTATATTCGTTTGGCCTTCAAACTATTTTTTTCCTCTGGCAACCCTGCAAAGTATAAACAAATTTTCTACTCCTGTGGCAGATACTCATGCTGTACTACAAAATGTTGTGTATTATTATGTGTTTATAAAACATTTTTGTAAACAAAAATACTGGAAACACAGTATAAGAAAAAAGTGTAATGTTAAATGACACAAAATTCTATACAAGTTTGTATAACGTATATTTATAACTGGATGTAATATGAAAATACTTTTAATCTTCCAAGAAAATAAAAAGAAACATCAGTATTTCATTTGTAAAAATGATAGTTTTGTCATTAAAAACTTCAAAATAATATTGTATGTATACTGTTTTTGAATAATCACAAAATGTACCCATTTGAAACAAAATACGAAGAAAAAGTAACAATCATCATCCGAATGCCACTAATTCCCATGTCATTTCGTACACCAAAATTATCCATAAAAGATGTTTTTAGGTATTAATCGAAAGATTGTTTGAGAGTTGCAGCTTACGGTAATTCTTTGGAAGGTCTTCATCTCGAATGCTAGTAATTGCATTCAGGAATTTCCAGGGATGGTGAATGTGGTTGGGTTTCGGTTTTGACTGATCGTGATTGCCAGCGTGTCTATTTGTTTAATGTGATGTTGCACATTTCCCATTTGTGTTGTTTGTATTATTGACAACTCCAGGTTACTCAACTGCAAAGTAACAAAATATATTTGTAGTTACTTTATAGTAACAAAAAGTAAATCTTTGTTGTTGCTTTGCAATAGCCTTCCCGACCAGAAATCTTTGAGTGCGTGATATCACTGACTCATAGTCCAAAAGCAGCCGTTCCTTACTCCCTTGTAGCTTCGTTTCTCCGATTTCTGCGAATCAAGCGACGTCATTGAACTTGAGCGATGGAAATGGCATACCCTTCTTTGTCTGTTGATTTTGGGACAATTAATGATGGCTGAACCCTTGGTCATGTACCTTGCATTAGGAACTTAGCAATAGAGTACAGTAATCCATCGAATTACGTAGAATGCAACTTTTCGCACTTGTGCAGGAAAGCCGTAACATCCAAACTCAAACCTGCTAACTGAAAATAAGGACTCCGTAAGCAGTTCCTCCTTTTTCTGATCTGCTTTCCTTGCGCTCTGGCAATACTTGCGAAGTTAGTTCAGTAATTTTTTATAACTATTAACGTTTGCTATTTATTTAAAGTGCGTTCGCAAGGCCAAAGAATTTTACAACAGAAGGATAAAACCTGATAGCCATGGAAGTAGCGTAATAAAATCCCCTGATCCTAACACAAACGTTTTGAGGATTTTAACAGCCATATACATTCCGGCATGTCTTTCAACATAACCATTTACGAAGACAAAATCATATGACTAGACAATTTATTCTAAACATGTGTATGATATGCGCCTGTCAACAACGTCAAGACTGGCAACTCAGATGACGACTTTAATGTTTCCTTTGCTTAACTCTCAATAAAATATGCCTGGTAGCAAGTAGTTGCTTAAAAGGGCCACGAATTCGGCTTGGATGAAATTTTGACCAAATTGTGCTGCAAGCAGGTATCTCGAGTTTTGAGAGCAATCAATTATGCTGTTCACTCTCCTTCGTATGGCTACGATAAAACTAAATTGCATTTATGTCTATTTTACCTGTTTAATAATTCGTATTTCTTTTAGTCTTAGATTTCATAATTTCAGTTGGAAGCAATCGCAATGAAATCAAGAATTATAAATTTGATAAATTCATTTATAAATTAATATAATAGCTTTAAAAATTCCTTCATAACAATTTTCTAAACATTTGTCATATTTTACTCATTAATAATATATTCATTTATAATTTAAAAGCTTTATAAACTCATTTGCCACAGCAATAATGTCTCAAATCAGCAAAATGTTTGTAAAGACAACATGCCATGGAAAATGATATTTATCATAATCTTAAGAAATAATGAAAATTATTTATTAATATGACATTCAGACCTCTTGATAAATTAGACCAAAAATATAACAAAATTAGAATTATTCAAGAAAGTAAGAGACTAATATCGTAAAATAAAATTTATTCCAAATGATCATAAAGTGGAACTAGTTAAAAAAATTAATAATATAAAAATTGTTCAAAATGTTCGTAAAATTAAAACAGTTAAACATATCAAAACTTTAAATTAATACGTAATTCTCTTTCCAGATCCCTTAAATATATATAAACGGGAAGCTACATTCTAAAAAATCATGAAATTAAAATTAAATATATAAAAATTTTTAATAAAAGTTATCGAATTGATACTCCGTGATAATTTGGATTACATATATTAAATCTATAGTCGAAACAAAAAGGGCACTCGGAAACACAGATATTGTTAAAAAGGAAGAAACTGAGTCATACACAAGATTATTTAATTAACAATACTTAAGAAAGCCAATGTCATTGTGTTTATATTTCAGAATATACTTGAACTATCTCATTAATTTTATATTTAAGAACTTGACTTATCTCATCGATTTAACATTTAAGAAAAAAAACTTGACTTAGTCAATATTTAAGAAAGTTACTGAATCAATAATTAAGATATTGATCAATATCATTAAGAACGTAACCAGTGTCATTGAGTTAATACTTAAGGAAGAACTTGACCAATGTCATTATGAAAACCTTGGCCAATATCATTGAGTTAATATATAAGAAAATACTTTAATAGTGTCATTGTTTACTTACTTTAATAGTTACAAGTATTTTATAGAAATAATATTTATAGATTAAAGTATTTTATAGAAATACTTTAATAGTTAAAATTCTTAAAGTAAAAGTCAGATAGAAATGTTTTTGACAATTCCGCATAGTTAATTTGTGTGCTTTTATAAATAAAAAATAACCGATTTATTGCGACTTCATCTACTGTCATTGCTCTTATTGCCCCAATTTTCTTTGTATTTTCTATAGACAATTTTATTTAACGTTGATCGTTTGTAATTGTAAGTTTTGATGGTTTGTTATGGGTCTCTCCGCAATAAATAAACTTTTCCCTTTAGACAGGATTCCCTAGTTCATCTACCCTCGTTAAATAAGTTGTTGACAGTATAGAAATCAAGAATGTGATAAAAAAAATTGTGTGCGACGAAATATGAAATGCTGCAGGAATTTTTACGAGAAGTTATTTTTTCTCTAATGCACTATATTCAAATCCTCATCGGTAAATGAGGAAACTGAAGAATATGATACATGTTCTGTTCATCAAGACGTGAGTTTAGATCCGAAAAACAAGGTTTTTTAGAAGAAATCTCTTTGTTCTGAAATTCTCAATAATGAACCTCAGCTTTAAATATGGTCCACTAATAAATTTTAGGTCCACTAACGGTAAAATGGTAAAATGGCTGAGCACTATGGTAGTTCCAACCTGGATTCGATTCCAGGTAAACGATTTTTCCAGGCAAACAAATAATTGTTCCCGTGTGTAACGTGTATACGAACCAGTTTCCCTAAGAAAGTCCTCCACGAAGGCATCCTTCCTCTTAGGATGATAACCCTAATGGGCTTTTCCATAATCAACTAAACTGAATCGATATTATTGTTTTGCCAAAATGCATATATCTAAGAATTTCACTCATTGCAAAAAAATCTCCGTCTGTAATTTCGACTGTTTTGTCAAATATTCTAGGAAACACGGACAACCGGGTATTGATAATAAATTTACGAACGAGGAATCATCCCTTTTCGACTTTCAAAATTAATTCTGCGCTTTGATAAAAATGCTTGATGAAATGATGACTTGATGAAATGACGATGATTTATAGAGAATGCCAAATCACAAGCCACAGTCTTCGACGAAACATTCATTCGACGAAACAAACATTTAAATTCGCATTCAAGTGCCGGTACATAGTTTGGACACTTGGAAATCCATTTTCAAAACGCAACACATAGCTGTTTTATATCAGAATCGAATACCCAGTTGTGTCGAGGTATATTGCTTCATCACAGGTATCATAGATTCTTTTGCTTCTTAAGTAAATCGGATCGGATTTAAGATCATTGTTCTGCAGATGAATATGCTGCAGTACCTACCATGCATTCCATATTTATGTACACGAAAGTTTAAGCACTAACAGCAGGTGTCTAGTTTATCGTTGTTTTTTCGGACGGTTAATCTTTCGTCAGTGTTTCGTCAGTATTAAGGTCTACAAACCTGCAGATAAAAATGGATGTACTTCTAATATATGTGTATCTTGTAAAGAATAATGCCTTACAAACTGAAGAAATTGTTATGAATATAGAATCGTCACCGTACTTGTCAGATGCGTTCGAGGAAAAAGACCATACATTTTTATTGACAGTTTCTTTTCATCCCTTGAAATGTTACCTTTAACTTTAAAAATAAACGGCTGCTGTACTATTAGGTCAAATCGGAAACGTTATCCGAAGAATCGAGGGTCTATGCACTAGTGAAAGATGAATGCTAAGATCTATTTTCTCGGTATATGTTAGCAACAAGCAAAAAGGATAAATGAGAAGTATTTGTGCTGAGCAACATACATAGTCCATCTAGAAAATTGCAAAATTGGATCCAAGGAGCCAGAAGTAATAGCTAATTACAACAAGATGGATCATACAAATCTCAGTGACCAAATGGCTGATAGCTACACATTTGGGCAGAAAACGTGGACAAAAAATAATATTTTCATTTATTAAATCTATCTTTCTTGAAAATTCATTCATTTGGTTCAAGATGAAAGGTCCTGAAGAAAAACAAAAATTTTAGACATAATATAATCTAGCAAATGTATCAGAAAATTTTAGCCCAAGAACCAAACGTATCATCTCCTACATCTCCCCAGTCTATTTAATATAGACTTTCAGTCAACAACCATAAGCGTTGACTATTCAAAAGAAAATTCAGAGAAGCTGCGTAGTTTGCATTAAGAAAATATGAAGTTGGCCTGTGTATAAATCGCTTATTTATTACATTATAAATTTATTACATTAGAAATCTTGAGACAGACTTACAAATTTAATACGAGCACAGTTGTTGCACCCCGAATTTAACTTATTAAGTAACTAGCTAAATTTTAATAAAGTAAAACAAAGAAGAACTAAGGAAAATGTTGTAAGAATCCAGGATCTTGTTCTTTTTGATCGTAGGTTGACAATCAAAATAAGAGAAGATTTGAAATTGAACCATAGCTCAGTTCATCAGATATTAAAAAATGAATTGGGGAATATCTGTGCAAAAATTGTTCCTAAAAACTTTTCGCAGGAAGAAAAAAGCAACAGAAGGGACAAATGTCTTAACAATTTGGAAAGGATTGAAAATGTCCCTCATTT